ATTCCTCGATGAACCCTTGCCCTGGGACAGCGCGACCCTTACCCCGCGACAACGTAACCACGCTAACCCCGTTCCAGGGACAAGAATAGAGTCAACCGCAGTCACGTGATGTACTCTTGGCATCGAAGGACGGACTTCTCCCTCGACCATCCATTGGGCTGTTGGAGCTGAGCACCGCCATCCATTGGGATTGGTCTTCCGATAGTCGGGGCACGTCCACTACGATTTCACCCGAACATCGAGGTTAACAGACCATCCATTGAGGTTGCTCAAGCCTTGGCACACTCTGTCGGACAGAGTCGGATCTGCTCGCACCGGCACAGGTGAATCTGCTGGATCGCAGGTCCTCCGCCGACAAACATGGGCAACTTATGAGTACGCGCGTTTGAGCTCGGAGTAAATCTACCTTCTTCATAATCACACAATACAATCCGATACTCTTACACTACCTCACCGCCAACGACCTCCCTCACGTCAATGAACGCCGCTTTACCGCTGCCAGACTGCCCAAGCTGAGCTATGACCGTCGCGGTCTGAGCCCAAGGGCGTGGGAGTGCCGGGCGATCTGAGCGTCCTTCTGCTTCTACTAGGGGTAGCATACGAGGGGGGGAAGAGGCATGTAATATTACCTCGTTCACACACTACGCGAAGTCTCCCCTCGCTCCAGGGCCGACGAGAACAGTCAGTTCTTCACAACTGCCCCACCCCTTGTCCGCAATTAGGGTCCGCCGCTCGCGAAAACGACGAAGTCCAACCCTAACATTGAAAATACTAATAATTTGGAAATCATTTCACCTCGAACAAGTTGGGAATGAAATATACTCTTACATCAACATAGTAATGACATATTTGACATAAATCACAATGGGAGAAAAAATATTTTTTGGCATGACGTGGCTGTGCGTTGGTCGGAGCCGTCAATTCTCCGTTTGACCCAATGGGAGGGCTGCAAAAGTGCGGACAAGGGGGGGAGCCGTGGTACAGATGTTCTTTCACTCTGTCCCCAAATCCCAATAAGTCAGGGCGTGCATCTCGAGGTTCGCAGTATCCGGATACCGGACATCCAGTACCCTCCAGTCCCGAGAAAGAGGGGTAGGTGCAGTGCGAGAGGGAGTTGTGCGGAGGAAGGCAGATTCTGACCAGCGTGGATGGTACATGTCATGGATGGGGGAAGATGGGTGAGGCAGGGTAGACCAGTACGAGTCTCTAACGAACTTTCTGCATTCTAGTCTGCATTCTAGTTTTCTTTCCATTTGCTAGGTCCTCTTCGAGCCCTGCGCGGGTCCGGAGTGAACGAGGCAAGTGGATTGGTCGGAGTCTGTAACGATATGCGTGATTTTGCGGCGTGTACGGATAGAGGAAGTTCCATATTCCTCTAGCGCCGGTATGAATCGGTCACCTCTTCCTTATACTGTCTGGCTCGGTGCTAGTTTATTGGGGATGAGTTTGTCTCGAATCAGGCACCACAGCTCAATGGTGGACATATCACCGGCGAATACAAGTCAGAAAGGGTACTATGTGCAGGCTTCTCACCGTTTTCCTCCCCACAATTATAGTATCCATAATCATGAGACTGGGGAAAAAAAAAAGGGGGGCTCGGAACGAGGAACAACATGCTGACACGTGTGTGAAAAGGATTGCAACACCTCCGCCAGCCGTTCATGGATTGGCCATCCACACAACGGCCCCAAGGATGAATACTAGAAGACCCACGTCGTCCAGGAACTGTTCTGCAATCACGGTGTACTTGATGGAGGTTGCAATATAGAGCTGAAAGCGGGAGGGTAAGTAAGGGAGGATACTGTTGATCAGTCCCGGAGTCGGTGGTAGGTTCTAGTTCCATTATATCGTGAGCATCAACACTTGAATCATGATGGTGTTCAACTCACTCGTTCCAGCAGTAAACGCATACCATGAAGGCCAAGCTGAAGAGCGAGAAAAACGTAGAACAGAGGCTGTCGTGACATCAGCGAGGGGCAAGAACATATCTTTATTGCTCGGCACTAACAACCGTGGGCACATTGTCCTTCGATGCAAGGAGGGCCTTCCATCGATTCCAGAATATCAAGGCGGAGGGTGATCGCCACAGTCCGGAAGACTCCCTCCACGCACTTGGCTCCAGAACGACGATGGCATAGACTACCACACAAAGGACAGATGATACATGAACAAAAGGTAACCAGCGCGAGACCTGGGACTGGGGTTGGGGGAAGACCGGCTCAGGTTGCTGCGAAGATCGGCTTGATCCGTGACGAGAGGCCATGGATTGCATTGTTGCCATAAACGAATCTTGGGACACATTGGGGTTGGGGCCATTTGAAAAATTAGCCGAAGGATTACCAAAGCTATCCATTGACAGCGGCTTTGAGCGAACAGTATATTTTGATGGCGAAGGCGAAGCAGCAGCTACATCTGCTGTCTCGTATGTGACTGGTGCAAGGAGCGATGGCTCATTGTCGCCAAGAAAGGTAGGTCTCAGGTCCGAGGAACTGGCGGAAACCAGAGGGCCATCTAAAGAAGGTCAACGAGGAGGGAGAGATGGTGAGAAAGAAGTAACCTACGGTCGAAAACGCTTCCTTCACCTCCCCGTCCCGTGTTCGTCAGCTTGGCCAGACGATTCCCGCGACTTGCCAGAATCTTCTGCCTCCTTGATTCTGCTGCTGCTCTGGCGTCTTGATTTCCTGGTTGGGAGGTCATAGAATTCGCAAATGACAATATCGGTCAAAACGAGGTCGTGGCAGTGATGTGTATGAGTGACAAGATGCGCATCGGAGGCAAGTTGTGTACATCATTCCCAAAAAAGAAAGAACTGGTCAGGGGTGCATGGCAGGGAAGGGGTGGTTAAGGCGAGAACTCATCGCAGGGTGGGATATTATATTTTTACTATGTATCCTGGCTCTTAATTATATAAGTGCTTGGGTATTATTGAAAGCATATATAACTTGGAAGTTGTAAGAAATTACTATATGTGGAAAAAGGTAGGGTGTTTTGCCTCCGATACCTGCTTGAAAGTAAAGCTCCTCATGCCGGGCCCTCTCAGTCGTGCCCATTTCCCATACCTTTTTGTGTTGAGTTGCTGTCATGTCCCGTCAAGACAAAGCCACTACCGAGCGCCATGCTAAGGTGTTGAGAGAGCTTGTGAAGAGGCCGGAGAACAAAGTCTGTGCAGATTGCAAACGCAATGGTGAGTTCGTTACGTCCACTCCACGCCAAACTCTCATGGATGCCGCCCGATAGATCCCAGATGGGCTTCCTGGAATATGTATGTTCCACCGTTACCGACCGGATATATCAATCCAACCATCATGTACATTCAGAGGTGTTTTTGTCTGCATTCGTTGTTCAGGCATTCATCGTAGCATGGGCACTCACATTAGCAAAGGTACGCTCCGTGCTCCCTAGTAGTACAGTATCCTTTGCGAACCGATGAATCATATCAGTGAAATCTGTCGATCTTGACGTATGGACATCCGAACAGATGAAAGTTTGTCCAGTATCCATATGCACCGACCATGCACTCAATCGATTCTAGTCTATCCAAAAGTGGGGTAACACACGAGCGAATTTGTATTGGGAAGCCCATCTCAAGCCTGGACATATTCCGCCCGAACAGTAAGGGCCTTTCGATTGACTGCCGTATGCTGGCCTGATGTTCTGATTAGTAAAATGGATTCCTTCATCCGTTCTAAATACGAGAGTCGGCGATGGGCGATGGACGGGCCGCCACCGGATGATCCATCCGTCCTCGAAGGGAAACGTATGGCAAGTATAAGCTTAGAACCTTCAAGTTTGACAGTGTCTGATTGGCATGTGTGTCGGGCAGCTGGTGGAAAATGATGCAAGCCCAGCTACAATAGCTCCAACCCCTGAACCAACTTCTCTTTCGATGTCTTTTGCCGTACCGTCTGTCCCCAGACCGCCGAGCCATATCTTGCTGTCATCTACGATAACATCAATACCCAAAGACAATCTGTCAGTTCAAGACGTAACCCAGGGGATGGTCCAGCAAAGTTCTCCACCCGCTGTGCCCATCAAGCCTGTGGAAGAACTTTTCTCACTGGATTTTCATTCGCCATCCGGCCCGGCAATAGTTTCTACTGCGCGAAAGGACTCGAAGTCCGACATATTATCCTTGTTCGGCACTTCTACCACTCCCGCAGCGAGTGCGCCCACCCACAGTTTATCCTCTGTGTCCCTTGCTCATCCCCCTGGAGCTGCAATGTGGGGTGCGCAGACAACGTCCACGATTCCACAACCGTTCCCGCTACACAGGAGTGTCTCAACCCCTACATCTAACCATGTGCGTTCATTTTCGTTTAACTCCGTATCGCTTTGCTTATTCCTTCGACATGTTAGACGGCTACGTTTGGAGCTGATATTTGGTCGGGTCAAAGTGACCCTTTCGCTTCTTTCGGGACGACTTCTTCCACGCCTTCCGGCACTAAGAACGATGCCTTTTCCGATCTGTGGGGCGATTTTAAATAGACTGCCTTTTATCAGTTATTTGTAACTCTAGTAGCCGGACTCGCATGTCTGTTATGTAGAAACTTCATCCGTGCTGTGTATACTTCCGAAAGTGGAGCTGTGATCATCCTGATTGTGTTACAGGTGCTTGAACTCGCCACGTCTCCTCAGTCCCAACCATGACTACAATGGAGGCGCTGACCTTGCAGTCGCGAGTTAAGGTAAGTTCTGTAACATTGACCGTAAAATCGCTAACATGTCTGATGGAAACACAAGCTGAACGATGGATACGACATTCCCATCCTTGGCTTTGGCACGTACGAAATGGATGGTAGAGATGCCTATCGAGCGGTTACATACGCACTTGAGGTATGCGATTCCTCAGTATGGGCAGTTGACCAATTGACCTACCGGTCGAAAGGCTGGTTATAGACTAATCGTAGGCCGATTCACGCACATCTTAGGTCTTAATTTGAAAGTATCATAACATTAGGATTCGGCAGAATGGTAAAGTGCAGTGACACATCTGGAGGTATCATATGCTAATTCTACAGGTATTACAACGAGGCCGAATGCGGCCACGCCATTCAGGATTTTCTACAAAGGACAGAGACCCCTCGAGAAGAAATCTGCTATACGACTAAGGTATCCTCAACTTTCGCAGGCGTAAATATTACCGTGGATTAATCTCAGTGCAGTTGATGAGCAATCGCGGACTTCAACATGCGCGGGCTTCCATCAGAAAGAGCCTCAAAGCGTGCAAACTGGGATACATCGACATATACTTGTTACACTCACCTATGGGTGGGTTTGAGATGAGAAAGGAAAGCTGGCTGGCGGCCGTTGAGGCGAAAGAAGAAGGACTTATTCGTTCGATTGGCGTATCAAATTTTAGCCAAAGACACCTGAAGGAGTTTTCAGGAGCAGGGTTCATACCTGTCCTCAACCAGGTCAGTGTATAGTCTGCACGCGTCTAGTAGATTCATTTGTACTGTATAGATCGACCTGCATCCGTTCATGACGCGTCGACAAGTGGTGGAATACTGTCAGCCGAACGGGATACTTCTTGAAGCATGGGCACCCCTTGTGCGAGGGCTGAGATTTAAGGACCCAGTGATCCAGAAGATTGCCAAAGCCCATGACAGAAAGCCCTCTCAAGTTCTGCTGCGATACTCTCTCCAGAAGGTAAAGGAAAAGCACAAGTGATCGACATTGATACTTAGTCTGCCTGAAGGGGTACATCCCTCTTCCGAAAAGCGTGTCTCCGAATCGCATCGTGGAGAACAGTCAAATTTTTGACTTCGAATTGACTGAGAATGATATGGACGCTCTCGACAATCTCGACGAATGTGAGTGTACGTTACGTAAAACTGATATTCGCTGCTCATCCAAGTCATATCATGCCAGATCTTGTTACCGATGTGAGTGCTCTATATTATGGATCCAGCGTATTGATCGGAGTCGCGCAGTGGGATCCAACGGATGCGGAGTGAATAAACGAGAATCCCTTGCTATTCATTTATGGCTTCCCAGCCGTTTTGAGGAGGTTCTCCCAGTGAAAGTTCGATGGATCTTGGTGGAAATCGTGGAGGAGCTTTCGTCGAATGAGGCTGTCTTCATCATCATTGGTCCAAGATTGCAGATAGAAACGCTGCAGGCCCATTGCTAGAGCATGGGTATCTTCCTTCGTTAGGAGGAGTGTCCATGGATTGTTTTCGGAAGGTGTAATTTCCCCTCGTAAAAGAACGAGCTTGTGAGAGTGAGATAGTTCAGTGTAATGAGAGACGACTAGATATGGCTTGGCAAAAGACTGATGGAGCTTGTACTCCTCAAGAGGGGTGAAGAGGACTGTTGAGCACCGGAGATTACGGCTGACGTCGAGGTGAGGCGGCACAAAAGGCTCGTTGGATGTGTCGGGCTCTTGCGGTCGATGATGGAATGCCCATTGAAGAAGATAAAACTGCCAGGCTGTGCTTGGTTCATTGCCTTGGGCACGTTTCGGTATTGGCAGAACGAACATCGGATACTTCTGCGCAACCTCGGACATTCGTAGATAGGTTGAAGCAGGTATCGTTGCTGACAAGAATGCGTGATTATGGTTTGCAGAATGATACGCAGTCCAGAGCTCGTGAATGATCTCGGAGGAATGAGGTCGTTCTAGTATCTTTTTCAGATGGAGAATTTCACTAAGCGGCTGGATTTGAATGAGATAAGTATAACGGGTTGGAGAAGACCAAGCTTGCCTTTAACGGGGATCTGTTTGCCGTTGCTGAGGCAATAGTTGGCAAAGAACTCTTGCGGGCCCAAGACGGCAAACTCGATGGAAGTAATGGGATGGCTGGCTGACGGGCGCCAGATTTGTCCTCTTGTATTTTCGCCTTGAGTGCTACGATGTCTGTTACGTCTTCTCTGTTGAAGTACACTGAGTTTGGTGAGCATGGACAAAAGTGAATTACGTACTGTTCCATTTTTTTCTGCAACTTGTCAGCATATTTTACTTGCATCTCGGCCGTCCTTCGTTTCAGAGTTTCCCGTGTGACCGCATATGATAGAGGATTATGGTCTGAAATTTGCTGCGAATCGTCTTGTGAGCTGTTTGAACGCGTATGAGGTCTCAAGCACTTTGGGAGCTTTAGTATAGGTCGAGAATGGACGGATTTCGCAAGATATGGAAAACCGGGCATATTGAACAGATGCACGAAGAGATGCTCCTGCAGAGTACTGGAACGACTAGGGACGGACGACATGGTCGGATTACATAAGACATTTTTGAGTCCTAGGCACAAAGTGCCTCTACCACACATCAGTGACTCCCTGCCTCTCCCTCTTGATCCTTTGAGGACGATGGTTCTGCGGCCTCCAGGGGAGGAGGTACATCGTCGTCGTCGTCGTCCTCATCATCCTCGTCTGCGCCACCCGGTGCTGCACCTGGTGAGCCGGCATTGATTTTCGCCATCATCTAGAAGTAAGGGTCATGATCATGTCACAAACATAGGTTGACTATCAAACCTCCTCAAAATTGAAGTCGGATCCTCCCGGCATACCGCCCATGCCTCCCATCCCTGGCATGCCGCCCATACCTCCCATCCCTGGCATACCGCTCATATCGCCCATACCCATATCTCCCATTCCTCCCAGATCATCGGGCTCTGTCACGCCATCCTGCTCTTCTTCGTCAACCCACTTGGTGAAGTCTGTCTTCAGCCAAGGCGTCTTGATCTTGGTCAGGCGAGGCCAATACTCAGCCTGCACTTCCTTCTTGCGTAGCTGCAAGGCTAAGTGGCGCGAAGAGAGAACCTTCTTAGTTTCCTCCGGTACGATAGACGCATAGAGATCAAGAGTAAATGCATAGCCTTTCTCAGGCAGTCCCCTAGCGGCACTACAACGGGTGAGGTCCTAAATCACTCTACTAAAATATCGAAGTTAGACTCACTTTCCGGCCGTTGCCTTGAAGGATATCGAGTCTTCTTTGAAATCAAGTTGAAGGGTGTCCGGTACGATGTCGGGCAGATCAACTAGAAGATAGTGTCGGCTGAGCGTCGTCTACACGCAAACTGTCCTGCGCAACGCACCAGTCACATAGAGAATATTCTTCTCTGGCACGGTGGCGGAGCTTCGCTGGGCCCAGGTGACTTGAGGATGGGTGGACATTTTTGCTGTGGTCGGATGTCAGGTAGGAACTGAGGAAGGATTTTTGAGTTGTGAGAGGTTGAATTTATGGTGGTTTTCGACGGTGCTGTTCTAGCATGTTCCCAGTTTTGGACGGGCGCGATTAGTTGATTAGCCTCCGCCCAATAGGTTTCCTTGGATATTTCCGCTATCGTCAGTACTTGGCGTCGAAAGCCCATCGTTATTACTTCTGCAGAAAACAAATTCACGCTGAAGGATGTGGTGCACAAGGTATGCTTGTGCCCCTTCATTTCTTTGCCTAGCACGTTGATGATTGTTTCGTCGCTGAGTCTAGATGGTTTCTCATCTTGTTCCTTCTTCCCTATCCCCGCGCATCGCCTTTCTTTTTGGTGCTCTTTCTATTCTCTCTGGTCCTCCATTCGCGACCATGGTCAGTGATTCAGTTTCGAAATACACAAAATCCTAATTCATATAGTAGTCTTTACTGCATTGTCCTGCTGACCGCACTCTTCACTTCATCATGCTATTGGGCCCCTGTCAGCTTGCCGATGCCGTCTTTTCTGACTTCAAACAACCTGACGACACTGGAGCAAACACAATGTCAGCGCTGCTGGTGCGATATCAATGACGGACATATATTTGATCCCTTCCCAACCATTCTCGGTGCACAGCGAGAATCGAAGGCTTTGCGCTCAATGGAGGTTCTGTACAAGGACAACCTGTTATTTCCCTGGATTCTGAGAGTTGTTCAGCCGATCCAAGCCTGGCATTCGCAAACGATGGATGAAATAGGCGAAGGTAAAATTGCAGAAGCCACCGAGCCACCGTCATTGGTTTCCGTTATGGGTTCCCCTCCATCATCGTCGGTACAATGGCAACCGGGCGTCAAACTGATGGCTCAGCAACTTCTTCGACGGTACGACTTGCGAGGTTATGGCCTGGACTTGATTGTAGACTTTGGATGGGGGAGAGGTGATGATGCTCCTGTAGGGACATGAACCATCAGGCATCCGAGTCTGTAGTAACATGTGGCATATTGATTCGAGGCAGTTTTAATACATGCACAATGGCTGATGACCCTTGCCCGTAGAATGAATGGGCATTTCCTTTCCGGTTGGAAACGTTACGCATTTCAAGAGGCTGTTGCGCAGCTTCAACTGGGGATGTCTCGTGGAATAGGGATGACCACGTACATGCAGCCTTATCATGACCAGCACTCTTCACACGAGTTTTCCAGGCTTCAACCCTGCTGGTGTTCTGCCATTCAGAGGGGTGTTGAACGACTGCAAACTTTTTGGCAACGTCGGGGGACTGGGACTTCGTAGCCAGGAAGAAGCCTGCACCAGCGAAGACCAAGAACATGATGCCAGCGAGCTGCATTTTGGTTGGATAGACGTTTCATACGGGCAATTACCGATGTAAACTCACTGGGTACAGACCGGGATCGCGGTGAGCGAAACGGTTGAAGACGCCTGTGGAATGGCATAAGCCGATACGTTCGGACACTGCAGCTATCTACTCACGGCCTGCAGTCTTAGGCTGGACCATTGAATGAGTCATGTACACGAGATGCCGATGATTGATTTGAACAGACTCACACCTTGTTCTCTGGGAGGCAAGGAGGACATTGCTGAATGGTGTGTTGGTTGAAAGTGATCGTTGCTACTGATGACAGATTAGAGGGAAGAAGGGAAGTGAACGGTCAGCGGGAGCGGCTGATGCAACTGGCTAAATTAGGGAGATCCACGGGAACGGGGCTGAACGAGGCAATACGTCATAGACAACCGCTCCGCGCACCCTGGGCCGTCACGGACCAGCCTACGAAATATCGACCACACGGCGCAGGATGGTGAGGATTAACCACTTCGATTATGTTCCTACTATTGAGGCAAGCAAAAGCGTAACAGCGCAGGACAGGAAGAAAGCAGCTGTGCATTCATTTATAAGAAGAGGCAAAGGAGCGTAGCGCGGTCCCCGCATTCGTGATTACCATGCGTCGCTGACCAAGCACATGACATATACGTGGCCCACGGATGGGATTGATTACAAAGCAAAACCCCACATTGATCTGTCAAATCACGTGCAGGGTCGTCCTTGATTGTCGGCAGTTACAATTTGGAAATACAGGTCACACCGTTACCATGCTTCGCTCCCCGCCCTCCGCTTCTTCCATCTCCATTGCAGCAGCCCGATCCTGACCATCATCCCGTCGCGGTTTTACTCCTGTTGCTTTGTATGCCAAGTACGCGAGACTGTGCCTCAACGGTCTTGCTCGCGCCATGAGCATTGGCGGCCCGGCGAACCATAGCATAGAACCGGTTTCTAGGTCACGCGCGAAGTGCATCACTGTGGGAACAGGTGAGAATACGAAATCAAATCAATGGCATATGCATCTACCCGTCTCTGGTGGCAATGTCTCGATCACTACACCGCTCGCCTGCAGCTGGCCTGCACCGCCAGCCGCAGTGATAACTGTGCGATCTTCGGCAGATTTGCGCTCTGCGGCGGTTGGTCCCCATTGAAAGATATTGGCCGTTGCAGCTGCCGCTCGAGATTGAGTGTCATAAGGTTGAGTGTCTAACCGTTTTCGCTTCGTGTCCCGATCTCTTTCTTTTTCAGAGTCATCCTCCCTCAATTGAGCGGCTTCCGGTTCGCCTATCTTTCCCGGGCCTTTGCCACCAATAAGGAAAGGACTCGGAACTCTTCGCAGGACAATTGTACGCTCGAACGGCTGAACAGGCATAAAGTCCATCTTTCTCAGCTCATCTGGAATGCAACTATTCCAATTTTTGATCTTCACGAACGCTTTCTCTTTGTCGTTGTAGCGCGAATCGCAGATATACAGAGGCCAACCTGGGTACCAGTAGGGAGCCTTTGGACGGCCTCTTGTATACTTCGTTGTGAACTGGCATCCAATTTTTTCGATCACATCCCCAATCGCATGATCAGCGAAGTGACCTGAGGTGCAAGGCAGAAGGCGGTCAGCATGGCGAAGATTGTGAAGGTGAGGAGGGCGCTCACTGGTTTTAAAAACCTCATTCATGTAGAACTGTCGATGTGCTGGATGAATGGTCTGGTGATTCTTAGAGACTTCTCATCCATCGGGGAGACACTGTACCTGCTCAGGACGGTAGTACCAGCAAACTGTTAAGGACGGCTGGTTTTGTTCCAGGGACGCTCTGCGGAAGGCACTCAGTGCATGACATATCAGTCACATTGTCGCCGCACCCATCAGGAAGAAATGTCTTGAAGACTTGGGCAATGATTGGTTTGGCAGGATCATCGGGATTCATGAGATGGACATAATCGCCTAACAATCTCGTCAGAAACCCAGGTCCACAGGGTCTTTGTGACTTACCAACGCGATAAATCTGTCCTTTGAATGATGCGGAATCTGTGAACTGTCTTTCCTTACTGGAGATACGAAAACTAGTAACGCCATCTTCATTTGTGCTTTCAGCACTGCGAAGGGGCTTTGCATTTCCGGGACCGGCAGCCACAGATGCAAAGTTGTTACCAGTGCTGCTAGATGCGTCGGGAGCCGTTAATTGATGATACATGCGCTTGGTCCTTTCAATAGGAAGACGAGGAAAGGCGAACGTTGACGAATGCGTACCTGCAAGAGGATTACTTTGCCATAATCCTCGCTGCCTGGCTCATAAAAGCGTCGTCCCTTTTCGAAAAGACGAGTTAAGTCTTGATCGAATTCTGCAGAGCTGTTATACTGGTGTCTCTCCACTTGAGCCTTCACACTTAGTAAGACTAGGTTTCCAGGTGTCAACACCATGCGCACCTCAATTGTTTTCAACGAAAGCAAACCCTGCATGAATGTGGGCTGAGATGAGCGTCAGACACAATCAGCTTGGCTGTTTCTCACATTATAGGACAGATAAGGTATGTCAGAATCATCTGGAAGCATGTCAAGCACTTTCGAGATCCGTTCCCTCCTTAAAAACATTAGCGAGAGTCAAGGAACCCGCAAAACGGCAGGGCACAAACTTCTCGTCTTGGTGATCCCTGATTTGTTGTAAAATATCCCTGTACATCACAAAAGGATCCTGATGATAGTCAGCCACTTCCAACTTCAGATGATGCTGGCAACGCACACCGAGTGGTTGACCCATCCAGCCTACGTCACCGTAACCTGGCCATTTCTCCATAGACTCTTCCACACGACGAACCATTTCATCACTTTGAGCAAGGACAACCTGCTTCTCTGCTTGCTTCTCCTCAGACGCTGCGAGGGCCTCATCGTCAGGGGGTGGCGTGCGTCTCTTCCGGCTCTTTGCCGCAGTCATAGGGGTTCGTACAGGCTGCATGGGATACGACACTCCTGGGGGAGGGGACGGCGGGGGGTCAGGAAGCCCTGATGTGTTGACCCAGGCTTTGGTAAGGAGTGTCTGCGTAACAAATCAGCCTGATGAGCAGTAATAATGCGTCGAACACGCACCTCTAACGTCTTCGCATTCCGCCAGATCGAACTCCCTTCTTCGTTGTCTACGGAAGACCTGTAAGCTCCTGTCATGAAGACCACATGCGGTACCCACAGTGCATAGCATTCAGAAAGACGAGTTTTAGGTCACTCCATACCTCATCGGTGGAGTTATATCGCCCTTTGTCCAATGAATCCTATAAAGTCCTAAGCAATGGCTTGCTAGGACGCTGATGCAAGAATAAACACTGGCCTTGATTCCACTCAAGCTGCGCGGTTCGGGGATGACACGATAATACTCGGGATATTCGTTCTTGTCAGGAAGCTCAGTAAACTGAGCGGAAAGATTGCGTCTATTCTCTCGATGGGAAGTGAGAGTGCTTATGACGCTGTAGCAGGCGACAGATTGCGTTGGAAGTAGTGGCATCCTGTGGTAACTGGGACGTGAGAGAGTAATCAATTAATTGGTCGAAGTCAATGTTGGCCTTGTGGCAGTGCATACATCATGCGGAGAGATGTGGACGCTCCTGGCCCAACAAACTCTGTCACACACGTCGACATGGTTGCACACAAGATAATTTTTGACACCGATGTAAGGCGCAGAATGGGTTTTATCCTTTTTTAAAAAATCATCTACCCCTCAAGGCTGATTTGGAAAAGCCAGGTGTTGATGATGTGATAGCGCTTCTTCTACTTCTCGCATCTCCTGAGATACGTTTGGAAGCAATCACTGTGACCTTTGGGAATTCCACTCTGCAAAACACCTTCAGCAACGTTCTAAAGGTCTACGGACTCGTTCAGCAACATATTTTGGAACATCCCCATGATGCGACCCGGTTTCCGAACTACGCTCGTCCAACCGTCCTTGCCAAAGGCAGAGCTGGTCCAATAGCTGGTGAGCTTCACATCGCGGAATACTTTGTCTGTGCTCCGTCGGTGGAATATTGAACTCTAGCTCATTCGGTATATCTCAGCATGGTCCTGATGGTTTATCCGATATAAGCAATACTCATCCTCACTTCGGCGCCGTCACAACTCATTCCTCATTGACTGTCGCCACGACAGAGGCATACAAAGTTATTCTGGATATCTTGGAACGCGAACCGCCTGGGACCGTGACAATCCTGGCGGCAGGACCACGTGAGAAATCCGATGGGCTCGGCGTGAGCAACGTGTGCTGACACTGCCATAGTGACGAACATTGCTCTCGCATTGCGAGAACAGCCAGAGATAGTCATGAAAGCACGCAGAATTGTTGCAATGGGCGGAGCTTTGGATGTCCCGGGAAATACATCTCCAGTGGCCGAATTCAACTTTTACGCTGATCCGTGAGCTGGACCTTTCCCATATCATGTCACGAGACTGAACTTTTATCAAAGGTATGCAGCGCAAGAGGTCATTCAGTTTCCACAGTTGCCCTTGTTCCTTCTGCCCTTGGACATTACTGTTCCCCATTCTGTGGACTTTCCAATCTTGATTCCTGCCCATCATGACTGTTCCCCCAGCCACACACCTCTGCAGAGTTTCATAACCGCTATATTAACCCGTCCGCGAAACGTGATGCGCATGTTAGGGGAAGATGATGCATTCCAGATGCATGATCCTTTGGCGGCCTGGTTCGTTATCCAGCATGCAGATATTCAGGGAACTGCGCTGGTGCCAGGGTGGAAAGGTGCAGTGTTATAAATGGAATGGAGATACTAAACCTATTTGCGACTATCTAGCCCACCGAAGAATGTTTCGTTTGGAGCGTATAGGCGAGCTCACAAAAGGAATGTGTGTTGTAGATCGCAGGTGAGCCTGGATCATAGCACGAGATCGCTCAGTTGCTGAATAGTGGTTCAGAGGGACTCGAGAGGTGTTTCATAGTAACCGAGCTGAGAGTGGAGTTGAAGAAGCTGTCGCTCTTCGGAACTTAGCACAAGAGGGCGAGGACGGTATTATGGTCATTGTAGAGACCCCTGGAGTCAAAGAGCTCACAGACGCTCTACTTGACAGGGTGATACTCAATTCACGTGCTCCTTAGCCCGCTTTTCGCGTTAAGAATTGCATTGTGAATATCATGACGTTGTCAACTATTGGAGCCCCTTTTTTGCACTTCGCGCAATGTTGAACGAAGTCTTATGTCATTGTGCACCTACAACTCATGTTGAACTTTGCGGTCATCATTAACCTCTGGTGATACGTTATCCTCATCCCCTTCCTAAACTGCCTGTCACTAACGAACTTCAGCTACTAGTGCTTGGCTAAGGGACATACGCACGCAACGTAACAAGTATCCTGCTCTTTCTCTACTAGACACAGAGGCCACACCAGAAGTGCCAGTGCTTCAAAAGTTTGGAGGATCTCTACGTGATGAGCTGTCGAGGGTCAAGGATGTCGATGTAAATGGGGAGCCGCTGAAAATGACGTCCTTGTCGTTCCCACTCTGAGCCGAGGAAACGTGAAGATGGTACCGTGGGGTGGTTTGGCAACGAGAAACAACCACCATAGAGACATCGAAGGCTGATGGTCATTCTTCCGCAGAAAGTTCGGGAAACCCACAGTATGCTGCCGACTGGAATTCCTCGTGCATTGGTTCAGTCGGTGGACGTCGCTTTCAGACACGGATGGGGCCTTGAATGCGTTCATATACAACAAGGATATGATATACTCATTTGCTTATTAACCGCTAAGCGCTGTAGTAGATGAGGTTGGGAAAGCACCGTCAACCTCAGAATATCAGGCACAAATGCCGACGTGCGCACGAACAACATTGGCAGAGGATCACCAAACAAACTCTCTATAGCATGAGCAACCAGATCCTCTCTCGATTTCATGAATGGGAACTGATTTATTTGACCGAAGAAACAAGTCTCTTTTCTACAGCGATGTGTGTACGTGAGCACTCGTCTGCGCCCGGAGCCAGCTCTCGCTGGTCAATTACAGGCGCGGGGGCCAGTTCCAGCAGTGCCTTTTCTTTCGCCAGCTTTGACAAGAGCAGTTCTTTTAAAACTTCCGGTGAACGCCTTTCGGGTGCGCCAGGCTCTGTCACTGATAATGCAGCATAGTTCTGATGTTCACTGCAACGAGCCTTTGTAGACGACGGTTCTCGGCCCGTTTCCCTAGCACTGGCCATAGCTAGTTCTAGCCTAAGCCGTGCCCTTACCTGCGCCATTAGCACGGCACTGGGCTGATGGATGGCGTTCGCTTTCGAATCAGATGCCGCGGTTTCTGACTGCTCCACGTTTGCCACTTGATCGCCCAGGTCCACGCCCTTCAATTTGCGTGGAGGAACTCCGACGGTCTTGGAAGCATTCTTGATTCTAAGACCTATGTCAGGTTGTCCGTGACGCTGCATAGTGGCTTTGCGACCAGTATCAACGAGAGCTGTGCCAGATTCCTTTCCTCGCGCGGCCGAAGTAGAAGGCTCAGTCCGGAAGCTATCCCCTTCTGCCTCAACCGAAGGTATCTGACCATTCTTGTGCATGTCAAGTGATCCACTGGCCGAGATGTTGGAGCGAATCGAAAGTAGTGCCGGCTCGCGATGGCGAATGAGCTTGACGGGTCCTCGCTGCACTTCCTTCCGTTCCTGTATGGGTGACCTGAAGTTATCGCTCTCGAAATTCAGTTGCACATGAGATGTCGTAGGGGCCTTGTGGTGGTCATCCACATTGTCCACAGGCGCTTTCCGTCTTTCCGAGAATGGTGACGACAAATGTTCCGTGGAAGTGGACTGTATTGGACCACAAAGGGATGAGGAGGTATGTCGAGGTTGAGTACTGGTAGCTGCCGTGAAGTCCGAAGCAGGCTCGCGCAACTCGCCATCAACATTTAGGCGACGTCGCACTAGATCGTTCCGATAGCGAAGTGCTCTCCGTCCGCGAGATTCTTCTGAGGCACTCCGTGGGCGTTTCTTCTGTGTAGGCAGACTGGAGGGACTGGAAACACTAGTTTCGCAATGCCGATGATTATCCCGCTCATCGCGGACTGATGAGGGTGATGGATGGTCCGAAGACCGAGATTGATATCTTCCTCTGTTATTCTGCACGCAAGAGGTGCCTGGAGACATTCCAATGGCTCTGCCGTGGCGCGCAGCAAATTGCCCAGATCGAATATCAAGGCAAGAATGTGCCGATGGTGGCGCTGGAAGCTGAACATTAGACGGGATGCTTTCATTGTTACATGGCATGTCGTACTAACAGTCATAAGTACCACAGTGTTTCACTTTATTGTACCACTTACCTGCACGATATTGTCATATATCGTGAGAGATCGGTATGGGGAACGAAGATAAGAGTAAACTTCGTGCGCGAAATGCTCAGCATTGTTGTGACCTCCTTCATGAATATCCAGAAATTCTGCCAACAATTGTACTCCAGCTTCTGCACGTATGTCGATGGACGACATAAGGCTTAGAATGAACGTTGTCAAGAACTGTTCCAAGAAGCTTGAGATCTGAATCAGGGAAGGGGACGGCACAAACCTCCACGTCCAACGCCGGCCAAACCAGCAATTCCCGTCTGACAAACGCCATTGTTCGACTTCGTAAATCTGGTGATGCTGCAAACTGTGCAGGGGTAGGCGCTGGCTTATATCGGGTATACGGGTTAGACGCAACGTGCTGATCGCGTGTTATGTCAGACCGAAATGAATCAGCAAAATAGACCGAGACACGCCTTTGCAAAAAGATTATTTCTGTAAATTCGTCTCCTACGCTCGACAGCACGCTCGAGTTCATCTCCTACTTCGCATTCTCTACTCTGACGTCGCCCCCACTCTCGCGCACGGCGAGACGGCAGCTGCCTGCGATGCTGGGCTGAGAGGGACTGAGGCGACGAGGCGGTGGAAAGCGCCGTAAGATAGTGCTTCTGATAATCGTACGGTGACCGAATGTTATGAATCAAGTATTCTCCAATCATTCGCGTGCATAGAGGACACTGCGGGAGATCTTTGGTCAGGGACAAGGAAAGAGAATTAGTTAATAGTTCACCTTTCGAGAGTGCCCCGTCCACATCAGGATACAATCAAAACAGAAAGCATCATGTGCACAAGCTGGAAGAACGGTGCGGTCCTGAACCGCCTGAAGGCATATCGTGCAATCGTCCTCCGCATCGTCTGCGTACTCTGTTGCCAACAGTGCTGACGGTTCACACATCCTTCCGTCAGGGGGAGGGAGGGATGGTGACGGGGACCGTGAGCGTTTGGAGACAGGCGGAAGCGACATGAACGGCAAGTATATGTCCGGACTCGCTGTGTCAATGGTCGATAATAGCGGTGGTCGTTCAACACGAAGTTTATCCACAGCCACCACACCTGCACTGGCACTTATCCGTAGCGTTGCACAGTCCCTCAATGCTAATTTCAAGCAGTATCTTTCTCATGTAACAACCAGAAGAAAGAGTTTCCATCTATTTCCCAGGGTTGACGAGAGTGCCAGTTCTTCCTGTCGTCAAACGATGAGACGGAGAGTAGGCATAGTGTTCATTAGCTAATGACAAAGGGATGATGAATATTGTCACGCGCCGTGGGGTTCGCCTCGTGTACAAATATGAGGTGATGTATGGGACAAAATGGTCCTCACGGAAGATTCACCCGCTTTGTTGACCCCCCTCCACTCGTTTCACTCTAGCAGCACTCTGCGCATTCCCCTATCATTCTTTCCCTTTTCTCCCTTCTTATATCATTCATATTGTACCAGCACACTCTTGTATCATTGTAGAATCCTTCCAGAATCCTCCTCATCGGGTGCTTATGGCACATTCCCACTTCATTCCCTTACCCCACCGGCAGAAGGCTGCACTGCTTCCTGATAGGGTCCTGTCCTCTTCACTCTGCCAACACTCTGCATTCATCCTTGACTCCTTCCATTTCACCATCAGTGCATTTCCAGGTCTCTCTTTAGGCACTCTCTTATCCCTCCTGCTATTCTCTAATGATGCTTTACTTACAATTTTTCTCTCACTGCACCTGACCTCAACCCACTGCTGTGGGGGCTTCCTCAGAGGTCCTCATGGCAAGCCCTGTCATCTGCTCCATGCTGCCTGTTGATCTCATCTGTGGCAGCATGACAATGACTGTGAGAGCATCCCAGATATATGGAATCTCGTTGCAAAGCTCAGTCATCAGAAGCACAACTGTGTCTTTGAGTTCTGTTTACATGGGGGAGGGGGGCTTGCCCTGAACCCTCTATTTTTTTTTTGGAAGGCATGAAGGACAAAGCCCTGCAGGCATGATCAACCACCAAATCCACTGACACTTTCCTTCACTTGCTGCTCTGCAGCCACAATCAACCACCAATTCCACCATTATTTTCCTTCATCTGCTCCTCTGCAGGCATGATCAACCACCAAGTCCACCAAAACATGGCACAGCATACCTATCAATGTCTTTCCCACAACCCATTTCAACAATACCCTTGTCTGCACACCAGAACAAGTTGGCCCCATCCACTATACAGCCCCTTCCTTTGCCAACACAACTCTCAGCTGTTGAGCCACTGTTTGCTCTGGCACTTCTCTTTGTGATGATTCCAGCTGTTTCTCTTCCTCAACATGTTCCATTTCAAGAATGGCTCATGACACATGAACACACCAATGTGAATGCGGACAGACTGGCCACATCAGCCAGACATCTATCTGATGTACAAGAACAAAACAATGGCAGCTGTGCTGGACATGGAAGATCTTGTGGAAGTTGGTGCAGACATGCAGCATGTGGTGGTCAGGGCACACATGCATTGCCTGCCCCACATGGTTTCTCTGCCAGCCAGTCCACTCTGGACGAACCAATGGGGTCTTTGACAGCACCTGACCTACTCAATCATGAGCTGATGAGGAACAATCAAGTTGGTTGTTGCTCTACCTGGTAATCCTGCCATGTCCTGTATGTGATTGTTCTCCACTTCCAGCACTTAGACTAATAAAAGACAGCTCAGTGGTCTTCCTGGCATCTTTCCCCTTTCCGATTTGAACAGCACCTGACCTTATGGTGGCCTCAACCAAGAGAAGCTCTCCAAGCTACTCCTCTGCCTGCGCCCACTTGGTCTTGTCCATCAAATCAACAATTCCACACATATGTTCTTGCAGCTTCAGGAGGGCCTTATGGTCCACCTCCAGCAGTATAGTCTCTTTCTCCCAGAGGCAGGAGCAGAACACAAGAGCAGACCAAGTTCAACTCCCATTCTGGACACCAGAACATCAGCCTTCCAGCCTTTGCTGTTCAACTTCATCCATTCTTCTGAACAGCATAATGGCATCCCTGGTGAATATGCTGTTGTTCATATTTGGCTGGAAGATGAGATCATCCAGCAGTTAAGAAGGATCTACTACAAATGGAGGGACCCAAATGGTGGCTCATATGGGTGAGGCTATGTGGGATTTATAGGTGCACATTCAGTCACAGCATAGGATGCCTGCATCTCATCCATGTCTGTTGATGCAGTACCCTGCTTTGGAGGATTAGCCAGATACCTCCCTGTTGAACTAAACCACAGGCCTGGACATCACCTCTGCTTCATTTGTTATGCACTTCATGGTCTTTCTCATTGTCAACCAAATTGTGGACATCTCAACAATTCCTGCCTGAGTCCCTCCATCTGCATTGTACCTCATCCCCATGCTCCAAACTCATTTGGTGGAACTGGGAATATGGCCTCAATAGGCAATGCTGGATCTGAGTCACCTGTCTGATTTGCTCAGACCAGCACTTCCATCCTGGCTGCTATGATCACTTGTGGCACAATCAACCACTGCATTCCTCCTTCAGTTGCAGATGCAATGAATCTGCCCATTGCAAGACCAACAGTGGGCACCATCAGCTATGACTTTCCGATCTCAGATGCCTCCTTGACCATAGAACTGCCTGCTGCTTCCACAGGGCCCATCACCCACCACCCTCACAGTTCATCTGTGGGTGTCATCACTGCTCAGGCAGGGTACCTGGAGAGCATCAACCAACATCTCCGCACTCCCACATAGAGGGGTTGGAGGCTGTCTTAGCCCTGGCTCTGTTGCAGGCATGATCAACCACCAAAGCCCAGCTGCACCTGCAGGCATGATCAACCACCAAAGCTTTGACAACCACAGCCCAACTCCTGCCTTTAGGCTTCCCCAAATGCTGCCTACTCATCCCAAAGAGCTGTGGCAGGTTCATGTGCATCATCAGTCAAGCTCTGTGTCAGTCATTGACCTCACTTTTGATGACAACACTGGTCAACTGGCCTTCAGTGGCTTCACTGCTGACCTGGACTTGGAGGATGAAGCAGATGGGATACACCTGCAGAGTAGGCAATTGTTAGGGCAACACAGGCTGACTAAGTCTGCTCACCTAAGAGTGCCAAGAGTCTAAGCAGGCAACAAGGAAGTGGAGTAGACCTGATGACTAAGACCTATCTACAGTATAGGTACCTGTGGATGATCCTAAGAGACCAAGTCTGAAGAGACAGTCCCCAGGCAGAGTAGCCTTATATTTATACCTCTGTGG